ATCCTAAAGACGGGTCCAACATAAAATGTATATTAACACAATATCATTGTACTGAATACAATCAATGCACTCATCTTTCTCAGTGTTTTATCAATAAAAGGCTAAGTGCAGCAAAATCCGACGACCTCTGCGTAATGTCATTACAGACAACCATGTTTAAAGATAAGGTATGATAAAGTTCATACCAAAAACATATTTAATACGGACACAAATAGATGTCACAACGTCAATTTGGCCACCTGAATGTAGTTTATAATAATAGAGCTTGGACTGTGTGCAGAGAAGAACACTAGACTGGATATGTGTGTAAAGGACCTCTCCAGTGTAGTGAAACCAGAATCTACTTTTATACTACAGCTGAGATGTGTGTAATGGACCTCTCCAGTGTAGTGAAACCAGAATCTACTTTTATACTACAGCTGAGATGTGTGTAATGGACCTCTCCAGTGTAGTGAAACCAGATTGTAGTTTAAACTAATTTTGATATCAATGATTACAGTTCAGACGTAGTGTTGAATTCAAACATGAAGACAGTCATGATGTGTGAATTCTGGACATCTTCAGCACACTAAACAGACAACATTAATGTGACTCAAGCACTCTACATGTCAACTTGTTCACTTGTCTTTACCTGGCTCGCAATAGGAGAGTCGTGGCAATCAGCTTCAGACCTGCCCAATTCAGGTAAGCTGAGGTCAGGCTGGGCTTTGTCTGCATCCTAAAGACGGGTCCAACATAAAATGTATATTAACACAATATCATTGTACTGAATACAATCAATGCACTCATCTTTCTCAGTGTTTTATCAATAAAAGGCTAAGTGCAGCAAAATCCGACGAGCCTCTGCGTAATGTCATTACAGACAACCAAGTTTAAAGATAAGGTATGATAAAGTTCATACCAAAAACATATTTAATATGGCACAAATAGATGTCACAACGTTTGCCCAAAGATGTGTGTAAAGGACCTCTCCAGTGTAGTGAAACCAGAATCTACTTTTATACTACAGCTGAGATTGGGGCGACAGTAGCTCAGTTGGTAGAGCATTGGCCTTAAGGCCAGAAGGTTGTGGGTTCAATTCCCACCTCTACACCTTCTCCACCGACTCCCACTGATGACTGCTGTCGTTGTGTCCTTGGGCACTGAAAGACTGAAAGATCAAGGCTATGCTCACACTCAGAGAGCAGCCGTCCTCCTGTGGACTCACCACCTGCAGAGGGTCAGTGAGGGGCTGGTGCTATGAGACTTGGGTGGCATCTCTGACTGCCACCCCCCTGACCCAGAAATGGATTAAAGGGTAGAAAATGGATGGATGGATGGACTACAGCTGAGATGTGTGTAAAGGACCTCTCCAGTGTAGTGAAACCAGAATCTACTTTTATACTACAGCTGAGATGTGTGTAATGGACCTCTCCAGTGTAGTGAAACCAGAATCTACTTTTATACTACAGCTGAGATGTGTGTAATGGACCTCTCCAGTGTAGTGCAACCAGAATCTACTTTTATACTACAGCTGAGATGTGTGTAAAGGACCTCTCCAGTGTAGTGAAACCAGAATCTACTTTTATACTACAGCTGAGATGTGTGTAATGGACCTCTCCAGTGTAGTGAAACCAGATTGTAGTTTAAACTAATTTTGATATCAATGATTACAGTTCAGACGTAGTGTTGAATTCAAACATGAAGACAGTCATGATGTGTGAATTCTGGACATCTTCAGCACACTAAACAGACAACATTAATGTGACTCAAGCACTCTACATGTCAACTTGTTCACTTGTCTTTACCTGGCTCGCAATAGGAGAGTCGTGGCAATCAGCTTCAGACCTGCCCAATTCAGGTAAGCTGAGGTCAGGCTGGGCTTTGTCTGCATCCTAAAGACGGGTCCAACATAAAATGTATATTAACACAATATCATTGTACTGAATACAATCAATGCACTCATCTTTCTCAGTGTTTTATCAATAAAAGGCTAAGTGCAGCAAAATCCGACGACCTCTGCGTAATGTCATTACAGACAACCATGTTTAAAGATAAGGTATGATAAAGTTCATACCAAAAACATATTTAATACGGACACAAATAGATGTCACAACGTCAATTTGGCCACCTGAATGTAGTTTATAATAATAGAGCTTGGACTGTGTGCAGAGAAGAACACTAGACTGGATATGTGTGTAAAGGACCTCTCCAGTGTAGTGAAACCAGAATCTACTTTTATACTACAGCTGAGATGTGTGTAATTGACCTCTCCAGTGTAGTGAAACCAGAATCTACTTTTATACTACAGCTGAGATTGGGGCGACAGTAGCTCAGTTGGTAGAGCATTGGCCTTCAGGCCTGAAGGTCGTGGGTTCAATTCCCACCTCTACACCTTCTCCACCGACTCCCACTGATGACTGCTGTCGTTGTGTCCTTGGGCAAGACACTTAAGCCCACTTTGCCCAAAGCCCCCACTGAAAGATCAAGGCTATGCTCACACTCAGAGCAGCCATCCTCCTGTGGACTCACCACCTGCAGAGGGTCAGTGAGGGGCTGGTGCTATGAGACTTGGGTGGCATCTCTTACTGCCACCCCCCTGACCCAGAAATGGATTAAAGGGTAGAAAATGGATGGATGGATGGATTACAGCTGAGATGTGTGTAAAGGACCTCTCCAGTGTAGTGAAACCAGAATCTACTTTTATACTACAGCTGAGATGTGTGTAATGGACCTCTCCAGTGTAGTGAAACCAGAATCTACTTTTATACTACAGCTGAGATGTGTGTAAAGGACCTCTCCAGTGTAGTGAAACCAGAATCTACTTTTATACTACAGCTGAGATGTGTGTAAAGGACCTCTCCAGTGTAGTGAAACCAGAATCTACTTTTATACTACAGCTGAGATGTGTGTAATGGACCTCTCCAGTGTAGTGAAACCAGAATCTACTTTTATACTACAGCTGAGATGTGTGTAAAGGACCTCTCCAGTGTAGTGAAACCAGAATCTACTTTTATACTACAGCTGAGATGTGTGTAATGGACCTCTCCAGTGTAGTGAAACCAGATTGTAGTTTAAACTAATTTTGATATCAATGATTACAGTTCAGACGTAGTGTTGAATTCAAACATGAAGACAGTCATGATGTGTGAATTCTGGACATCTTCAGCACACTAAACAGACAACATTAATGTGACTCAAGCACTCTACATGTCAACTTGTTCACTTGTCTTTACCTGGCTCGCAATAGGAGAGTCGTGGCAATCAGCTTCAGACCTGCCCAATTCAGGTAAGCTGAGGTCAGGCTGGGCTTTGTCTGCATCCTAAAGACGGGTCCAACATAAAATGTATATTAACACAATATCATTGTACTGAATACAATCAATGCACTCATCTTTCTCAGTGTTTTATCAATAAAAGGCTAAGTGCAGCAAAATCCGACGACCTCTGCGTAATGTCATTACAGACAACCATGTTTAAAGATAAGGTATGATAAAGTTCATACCAAAAACATATTTAATACGGACACAAATAGATGTCACAACGTCAATTTGGCCACCTGAATGTAGTTTATAATAATAGAGCTTGGACTGTGTGCAGAGAAGAACACTAGACTGGATATGTGTGTAAAGGACCTCTCCAGTGTAGTGAAACCAGAATCTACTTTTATACTACAGCTGAGATGTGTGTAAAGGACCTATCCAGTGTAGTGAAACCAGAATCTACTTTTATACTACAGCTGAGATTGGGGCGACAGTAGCTCAGTTGGTAGAGCATTGGCCTAATGGACCTCTCCAGTGTAGTGAAACCAGAATCTACTTTTATACTACAGCTGAGATGTGTGTAATGGACCTCTCCAGTGTAGTGAAACCAGATTGTAGTTTAAACTAATTTTGATATCAATGAATACAGTTCAGACGTAGTGTTGAATTCAAACATGAAGACAGTCATGATGTGTGAATTCTGGACATCTTCAGCACACTAAACAGACAACATTAATGTGACTCAAGCACTCTACATGTCAACTTGTTCACTTGTCTTTACCTGGCTCGCAATAGGAGAGTCATGGCAATCAGCTTCAGAACCTGCCCAATTCAGGTAAGCTGAGGTCAGGCTGGGCTTTGTCTGCATCCTAAAGACGGGTCCAACATAAAATGTATATTAACACAATATCATTGTACTGAATACAATCAATGCACACATCTTTCCCAGTGTTTTATCTAGAGAGAAATTTTCAAAGACTGCAGTTTAGAATACAAAATTCTATGCAAACAATAAACTGCAATGTCGAATGAATCCTGTAATTTTACTCACAACAAACATTAAATTAGTACTTGTGATTCTTGTATCAAGATAGAAGACCATTATGTCTTCTACACACCACACGCGTCTTATGGGAGGGTAAGACTCGCGTCGTGGCTTACAGCATGGGTCGCAGGGCTGATTTCAGATACGCACCCATTGTAGAAGCCAGAAACATGCACACTGTACGTGATGCGTTGACAAGCGCACCCGAAAGTCAAATCGAAATATGACCCACGCGTATTTCTGCCGAACGGCACTTGCGCTTTGAAGCGGTTTTCTATCAAATTGCAGTGAAAATATCCTTGTGTCTAGAGTCTTTAGCGGCTAGATCAGCCCCACAGGTCACAGAACATGTAGTAAACGTGAGGAGGAAAGGGTAAGTTTCCCAGTGATTCTGGACATTGTTTTTTCTTTCATAAATTCTCACGTATGACACAACTAGCACAGAGACCATGAGGACGAACACATACAGCAGAACTGTGTTGTACAAAGCAGTTCTCTGGGCTGTTCTGTCAGCTAAACTCCTCCATAGACTTCAAAGAGGCAGCAGAAGCAGTCGCTCTTTCGTTGACAAGAGACGCGCATCTGCCTTGATGCGTGTGGTGTGAAGCGGGCGGTATAGTTTAATCTTCTAAAATGCTCAAATTCAAGATCATACATTTCTAATTCATTATAAATTGCTATAACAACTGGAATATTTATTTATTTATTTAGACTCATGAGGCCTCTTTTCCACTTGCCTTTTTTCTCCATGGCCAGCCTGTTCCTCCGTAATCATATGATATTTCCTCCCCAGCATCAATGTCTCTCAATGCAAAAAGAAACAGATGAGGTTTGCCATCATGAATAAGTTTCTTCATTTTGCAGTTAGGGCGGACGTTATCATTGACCAATCTTCCAAAGCTTTGGTCTTCTCGTGATGCATCAATGCTAAGAAAAAAAAACTATTAATCACTAATATTTTTCAAATAATATCTTTCATTCTTTTCCCTCAAAGCAATATTACATAACAAATATGCTTTATTTTTGTATATCTTACCACCATGTCTTCTCATGCCACTGAAAATTATACATGAAGACTGAACATCTTGGCGAATATACTCTACGGCGTCTTTCCTCCTCCGCCGAGTCAATCAGCTCCCCTTTGTACTCCACCACGAAGTCTCCTTGTTGTACTTTTTTCTTTGCAAATATTCCTCTTCCTAGCACAAATATTGAATTATTATCTAGGATGTCAGCTGTCATAAACTCATACTGCACACAACTCACCTTTAATACAATTAATGTATTTAACCTCCAATATATTTGTTTTGTCCATCCCTTTGGCAGCGTGCTCCAGAGCATCGTCCTTAGGCGGTTTTCTTTTTTTTGATGACATGATGGTGTAAATCCTATAATTATCGATGCAAAACGGACAATGCTTCAATTTAAGTGCCCCTTAGTTTACACACAAATGTAAATGAGTCAATGACTGATATAGAAGTTTTTTTGTTGCTGGTGCCACTCTCACCAGGAACGCAAACGATGGATATAAGGGATAAAGAGGAGCATTAATAGGGATAATATTTAGATCAGAAGAACGCCACAGACGGGAAGGAAATTAATAGCCTATAGCCACTTGCTTAAGGTTTCCCCTCCTCCCGAGAGTTTAGACCAGACCCAAAAAACCCAGCCCAGCCTGACCCCGCAAACGTGCGGCCCGAGTCATTTCCCACATGTTGAAGCCCGCGAACCCGCTGTTTTTATGTTACATAATAATATGCTTCGCGCGCTTCAATTTGTAATACCAGACTATGCAAAGATGGCATCATGTTTGGGAGTCTGGCGGCCAGAGACTGTACAAGATCTAAACCAAGCCAAAACTATGACTGAACCCGGTCTAAACAAGGTCTAAATTTGGACTGGGCCAGGTCTGCAAGGGCCAAAACTCTACGCCCTCCGACCCCTCGCGTTGCTGTTAGCAGGATGCTAACGAAAGCTAGCTTAACAATGTAAAACCTAACAAAACTCTACTTTCATTAGTTACATGCCATACTTTCAGCAACTGTGGCCCTAAAACCTCCTAAAATACAAGCAGTAAATGGGCTAATATTGAGACTTAACCTACGTGATATCAGAACAAAGAAACAAGAAGGAAATGATAACGTTAGCCTTTAGCCTAGTTAGCTTAACAATTCTACAACCAACCTGTCGGGAGTCTATCCAAAACTCTCCAAAATAAGTCTGGGCACTTCCCTTGCAAATGTTATCGACACAAACAATACATTTCATTCATTACATTACCTACTTTGAGCACCTGGCCTTAAAACCTCCGCAGTCGTTTTTTGTGTGTGTAGCTTCAGCTCCGATCTCCATGTGGTCAACACAGCTTTAACTTAGTGCGCATGAAAATGACATCATGGAAATAAAATTTAAACTAGTCTCCGAAACTTACATCTGTATAACAGTGCAAAATATCTGATATGGCCCAACTAGATGAAAATTAACAATTTGTAATTAATAAGAAATTAACTAAAACGTGATCAAATAAGCCATTTATCCCAATATGACTATGTGGGGAGGGGGAGGCTCTAGGAGTTAGTTTTACGTTAAGAAACTAACAAAATCATTATGAAAAACAACTTTTACCTCAAAGATGAGCTTTCTTTCTCCACAAACATGTGCTTGGAGCAGCTAGTTGACGTTAACATAAGAAGCCTACTCTTCAAACTAACTTCTGTAGTGTTTTTAAAGAATGCCTGTAGATTGGAAATGATTTAAAACACATTCATAAAAGTGATTTTTTTCCTTACCTTTTTTATTGTGATCCAAAAAAAGTCCTATGTCGCGTCCTGAATCCTGAAGTTCAGTGTAATCGAAAGGGAAAAGACAAGCGCATGCGCACTGGGCATAGTGTGTGTCAAGTGTGTGTAAGTGTAGTACCGCACTCCACCACTAGAGGTCGATACTGAGTAAATTCTGCTATACACACTTACACACTTGAAGTCGGTTTTTGTCACTTTTGGAGACCAAGCTGAAAAATTGCCAGAGCCTTATTTTGGGCCTATTTTAATTGAAAATATAGTTTATCTTAGTGGGGACCGGGTTTTTGGTCCCCACTAGGATTTTGGTCCCCACCCCGTGAGTGTGCTGTCAGGCGCCGGTCCTCTCAAGGTGATAAAGACAAACACACACACACATGTGCACATACACACACACATGCACACATGCGCGGGTAGATTACATAAACACCATCTTTGTGGCTTTCCATTAATACCTATGGAAACTCCCACACGTAGTACCTGGTAAATGATTATTTTCTCGAGTGGGTTCTCAAAACAAGAGATCTTTGTATTAGTGTGTGCACAATAGTACAACATTGGCAGATTTCTCATGTACAGACTGTGTGTGACGGTATGTTTTTGTGTGTTCTCTTCCCTCAGTGTGTCGACCGTACATCAAAGTGTACCAGGGAATGCAGGCGGTGTATTCGTCTGCCATCTAGTAAGTAAACAATGACTGTGTTGTTCTGTCAAAGGAGGCTGTGGTTGTTTCCATTAGTGAACGGAAAATATCAGATAATCTCATGAATATTTGTCATTTTCAAGATTGAAGTGTCCACAATTTAAAGTGTGTATGCCAGGTTTGTACACAATAGTCAGTGAAAAAACCGCAAATCAGTTTGTCGTTTTTATTTTTATGAACGATAATGCTTCCTGAGATGTTGCAGAGAAACCAACTTCTCAAATTTCCAACATTTTCTTTTGACAAATGACATTATAAGAATATATGTTTATTTAGCTGAGTTTACAATCCAAGTCTAAATAAAATGTGTTTGTTTGTCTATGCATTCAGGATCTCTGGACTACATTCATTTTTAGATTTTGGGTCTACTTCCTGTCAATTTCACTGCATTTTCTCATTATTCTTGATCAACTGTGGCTTTATTGGTTTAAAACTATACATTCTATTTAAATTAAGTGTCAAACAACCATAAAACCACATACATGCATTTTAAATTCCAGTGGTCAAACCAACTTCTGTTCAGACCATTTCTCCAGGATCTGTTCTAAATTTTGAAACTTCTTTTGTAATTTATTAATTTTTATTGCGAAGAAATACATGTTAAATTCATGATTGATGTACGGTCTGACCAAATAACTGAAATGCTAATCAATTATGTCTAAATGATTGTTTCAAGTGAATGTCCGGGTTCCTCACCTCTATCTCACATATATCATCTGCATCACTTCTTTGATATTAGCTGGAGGACCTAACTTTGATACATGATAAAAACAAGAGTAAATCTATGTACTTCTTGCAGTCATATTGGCCAAAATCACAGAGACCGAGTCTGCGTCGCCCTAGAACCCGCTCAACTCCTCAAAGGCGACATCATGGTAAAATAAAACTCCACAAACCTGTATAATTGTATTTATACATTCATGTTTTTTTTTTTACATGGCAGTGACTGTATATGTTGACATTTTCAGATCAAGTGCTACCACAAAAGTGATCTTCGGTCTGAGCGCGAGGTGATTTTCCGGCTGCAGTTCCACACAGGAGCGGTGCAGGGCTACAGCCTGATGTTTGAAAAGGAGGACATGGAGAACGCTGACAAAGGTATCTCTTCCTTTTCAATCTTCTCCTCTCTCTGGACCTGGATCTTACCTGCAACACACTGCGCATTGTATGTCGTCATTTCATCTTCTGTTTTTGGTCACATTTAGAGCTTTCACCTAAATTTGTTTGGTCAATCAATTGTTTTCAGATTAATCATATTTCAAAAAATACATTATTTTCAAAAACAAATGATAATGTTAGATAATGTTAGATAATAGACAGATGATGAGAGTGAGATCCCCTCATCTATAATAACACAAGTTGACAGCCAAAAAATGGTCAGTGGTTTCTCAACTGATTTAGACTAATTTTGGTGTTCTGAATCCGAATATCACATGCCTTTTGCCCTATCAGGTCAACTTTTTGAGATACAGCCATAGTGTTACGGATGTACGTCTACGTTATTATGAATTCTGCTTATCAAATTTGATGGATTAAATAAAAACGGAATGACTTTGGATACGTTGACTTTTATTTCTTGAGGAAAACGGAAAAAACGTCAAGGGTTTCTCAGCTGATGATCCGCAGAAAATTGTTTTTTACGCAAAATCGATTTAAAAAAATATTTCTGTAGCAAAAAATCTTGACCTGATTGAGCAAAACCATGGTCATTTTTGGACTCAGAGCATCAAAATTAGTCTAATTCAGCTGGAAAACCCTGGACTATTTTCCAAAAAATATTTTTTTGTTACCCAGTGTAATGAATTCTACAATTTTTTCATATCATAAAAGAGGTGTTTGATGCTTTATATATAAATAGTGTTTTGTTCACGTCAGTGGTTCTAAAGTAGAGCGTGTTTGGGACCCACCGTCAGCATGAAACACAAAACCGTGACTCAAATACAAACTCCTTATGAATTGACATAATTATATTCATAAATACACACATACAGTATGTAATGAACGTAAAAAAACAAAGCAAAGATCTCCACAAAGTAAAAAAACATTTCACCTCACAGTGTATTTATTTACATTAGGAACGTTTGGCAACTTGGCGTGTAAGTTTAAATATGATGTAAAAAACTGTACATTTTCACAAATGCCTCTCTGTCTGTCTCCTAGATCCCAGATTCCCAGACTACGGTAAAGTGGAGCTTGTTTTCTCCGAGGGACCAGAAAGAATCCCTGGTGAGTCACTGGATTTCTGCTGATGGAGAGTTTGTCTTTGACCCCTGGTGCTGTCTTGCACCCTGTCCTCCTCCTCCTCCTCCTCCTCCTCTTCCTCCTCCTCCTCCTCCTCCTCCTCTTCCTCCTCTTCCTCCTCCTCCTCCCTTGGTGTGAGGGATGTGGAATGCAGTGGAGGGGAAATGTAGTGCAGAGTGTGTGCCAAGATGCTCCGCGGGGCCCGGCTCTGGCTCCACAGGAGAGGAAGTATGTGCTGATCTGCAAAATGTGTGTATCCGACTGCACAACAACAAGATGCAGCCGCTGAGCAAGTTTAAAAGTATCGTCTGGAACAGTACTCGTGCTTTTGTCGCTCGCAGAATAAACTGACTCCTTCTTCTCCTCTTAGAGCTGGAGTACCTAACTTCCAAGCCATAAACAATATATCTATATAACACTTTTTAACAAGCTCCTACTTTGGCCTTTGTCCCATCCTTAGATCAGCTTTTTCAGACAGAAAAGTGGAAAAGACATGACCCTCAAATAGTGATAGTAAAAAATTTAAAAGACAGTATGTGTTTTCTGATGTTTTCCCAGAAATGTACTTTAAAAAAATGTATAATTTATTTTAAAAAATTAAAATATGTTAATTCAACGACTCAATAATCCGTGGCTCATCTTTAGTTTATTTTCGAATATTTAATAGAAAATATAATTATTTGACCATTTAATATAAACACAAAATTACAATTTAAATGCATAGTTAAAAACACTTTTAAATGTTACATTAATATAAGAAATCAAAAGATGGTCATTGGCGTCTGATTCAGGCAAAAAAACGTAAAATAAACACAAACATTAGTCTTATAAGAATAAAGATGTCATGTGCCAGTGTTTAGAAAAATAATAGTACTTTCCAGCCACAGTCCCTGATGAATCCTCTTTCACTCATGCTCCCTATAAATGGAATATGCTACTGACCCAGTGTGTTTAATAGTAAACTAAAGACTTATTTGTTCTGTCATTCTAGTGGACTATTCATATTTCTATATTCATAATAATAATAATAATGCATTGGTTTCTGCAGCGATTGGACACTCAAAGACTCTTCACATGTTTTTATTCATTAACTCCATTTACGCAGTGGAGATAAGATAAGATAAACATAAACTTTATTGATCTCACAATGGAGACATTTACAACAATTCACTTTAAATCACTGCATTAAGACTGAAAAACCTGCACTACTATTGACACTGTTTCTTTATTGCCACTTTCTAATTTGCCACTTTTTACTGTACATAATATATCCTGCATTTGACATGTTTGCACAATCTTGAGTGATTCTATCCATGCCAGATGTGACATGTACATTCCTCCTGTGTGAGAATAATAAAGTATATCTTATCTTATCTGATCTTAGCCACAGCTGCCCTGGGGCACACTGACAGAAGCGAGGCAACCAGTATGTGCCACTGGCCCCTCCGACCACCACCAACCATTCACACACACACTAGACTCATTCTAGGTGATGTGGGTGAAGTGTCTTGCCTAAGGACACAATGACAGTTTGGTCCCACTGTTTGGTCCAAGCTTTTCCTCTTGGTTTCGAGTTGCGTGAAATTGTTTGAAATGTGCTATACAAAAAAATGTACATATAGACTTGTGAAATTTGCTGCAATTGATGGCTCCTGCACAACTGCGGGATTGAACAGTTTTTTCTCTAACCGGATGCAGTGTTGGTGGAACTGGCAAACTGTGGCGAGCACCGGAATGAATAGCAACGTCCTAAAATATCCTTTTTAATTAATCCTTGAACCTTCTCTGAACCCAGTCACGTCCTATAAAACCAAACTCCAGCTTGAAATGTGATAATCGTATACACAAAAGTCAAAAAAATAGCATATCTTTCTTATCTTGGACTTTTTGCGCTGCATTCTAAATCTTTCCTTGATTGAATGAGACGTTGTTTTGTTTTGACGTTTCTCCTCCCACATGGGCTACTTCTAAGAGTCAAACTGCAATACATCCTGCCGCTCAAACTACCTTTTTTCTCCTCTATTCTCCACAGCTGCGAATACTTGGAAGTTGGATTCAAATTGACCCCAGAAAAAGCATCATAACTCAAAATATCTTAAATTCCGTCCGAGCTCTTTGATGACTTTCATAACAATGGTCGCTCCCAGTGGTGTTTGTCTTCCCTGTGTGTCCAGTTACAGAAGCTACTATTGTAATCATCATAATAATAATAATAATAATAAAGTTGGATTTATTTTGGCGTAGGCGCTGACAGGTGGAACAACGGGGCAGATGTTATTGTGGACTACAACACCACGGACCCTCTGACGCGCTGGGACTCCTACCAAAACATGTGCGATACTGAAGGTAAGACACGCCGCATTTGTCGCAGCCGAACATGTGAATATTTCCTTTGCAAAAACAGATTTATCCGTTTTTAAAATGTGTCAAAAAGTTGTACCATTTTTTTGTTTTTTTAATTATAAATGTATTTTGTGTTAAATGTCATATGCTGTCTCCTCTTGGGGATATTGTGGGAGGGACTGGGGGTAAAATGTATTCTTAAAATGCAATAAAGATATAATAATAAAAAATAAATACCATCAAAATAAAAAAGTTGTTCTATTCTGGCGACAATCTTAAACATGTTTTCTTTTTGGCATTACATTTGAAAAAAAGTATTTCCGATTTTTCCATTTTTTTCCGATTTTTTTACAATGTCAATTATCTGTTTTTGCATATTAATTTCAATGTGTTTCAGTACAAGACACAGAGATAGATCAATTCTTATTTAAAAAATAAATATTATGCATTACTTTTGTTCATTTAAGAGAGAGAGAATGAGATTTGTGATTCTGTTTTAGAATGATTTACAATATCTCAAGTTGCAGTCTCTAACTCCCTATACAATTCTCAATTATTTTGATTTAACTTGCCATGTGATTTAAAATACCAAAGAAATTGCCAAAACTAATTTATGGGCAACAAATTTGGTTTAAAGTACATAAGTATGCGATTGTATGGTGTTATGTTCAGGGCCAAAAAGCAACGTTTGTCCTTCTGGTAATAAGGTCCTTTTTTTGTTCTGTCATAAGGTTAGATAAGCGATAATTACCGACAAAATTCTTTCTAACTCAACTGCTCTGTGAAATAGTCAATTTGTTTGGATGAAAATGTTTTGTGTCTGTATGAAATTGCTTTGTTGATTTAAGAGAACAATCATTAAACTCAATTAAAAAAGGAAAATTAAAGTAGACACATAATTAATACGCTAAAATGGCTCTTTCTGAACAGGCTTTTCGCAATTACATCAAAACTGTTAACCGCAATGGAGAAAGTACGATTTCCCGTCGAACATACATTTTTTTCTAATTTGTGATGACAATACACTCCAATTATAGATTTTGATATGGTCTGGTTGCTATGACGGCAAACCACTCAATACATATACTTTCCACACAGCCTATAATTAATTAAAAGTGCCAAAAGATAGACAAGGCTTTCTGAAAGTTTTTGCCGTAACGTTATCGTCTTATGTGGCTTACGTTTTGTATTCCATAATGAAAGTAAATGTCCTTTTAGATTTAAGGCACAGGCTTTAGCTCCGTCGCTGCAAATTGCCGTAAGCGAGGGATGCTGGGCTCAGGGCTCGGAGCAGTCGGTTCTCAGGAGATGTCTATTTTGTTGTTTCTTTAAATGAAAAGGCAGGCTTTAAATCTGCCCCACACACACGCACACACACTCTCACTGCTGCGAGCCACCCTGTCCCACTGCGGTCTCCTTCTGCTCCACCACACAATTCACAAGAGCCTCCCAGAATAGAGCCCGATCCACCCTTTCCCACTATCCATTCACTACTTTTACAATTTGTTTTGATGAAAATTGAGCTACGTTTTAATTGCGCCGCTAACATGTCCCTGGCTTTCAACGCCAAAATTTGCGCAATAAAAGTAGATTTAATTCAATTCAGTTTATTTTGGGTATAGGACCTAATTCACTACGGTATTATCTCGGAGGATTTTGCAAAACTGATTCGCCAACACAGATCGCACAGTCAGACACAAGAAATGCACTGATAAAAAACACAGAGAGGTTAGTCCATAAAGGGCGGACGACCGATGTCCATAGTTTAGTTTAGTTTAGTTTAGTTATGTTTTTGAACCATATAGTTAAGGTGTATAAACAATTTACAATAGACAAACAAAAATAGTGCAACAGTATTGTTCAAAAAAGGAGTGGGAAGAGATTTAAAACGTTTTAAATCCCACCCCTTTCCATTTTAACATAATGTAGGAGGTATTACTGCTTCCTTCAGTTACATAAACGCACACACAAATACATAACAACCATAGCCATAAATATCTCTGCAAAAAGTGATGAAAAATAAATCAAAAATGCTTAGATTTGGGCAAAATGTATCTTGATTTGAGCACATCTTAACTGCCTTAAAACAAGCTCTTGAAATAAGTCTAAATGGCTTTGTCCCATTATCAAATCTTATTTTAAGACGATCAGAATGTCCTCAAATCAATTTACATACATACAAAATGTACATAATTACATTTTACTTATTTTATTTCCTAAAACATATAAAGCTGGCAATATTTAAATGTGTTTCTTTTATCTGTGCAGCACTTTGGAAACTTGTTTTTAAAATGTGCTATACAGATAAAGTGGATTGGATCAACATCATAATCACAGAACTGTTTTAAACTAACATTGTCAGAGTAGAAGCCTGTCTCACATTTTCAGGAAAGACAGATTTTAGATTCATATATCTTGTCATGTTTATTTACATAGTGTTTTTCCACAGTCACAAGTTATTTTTGTATTTTCCAAACGCATACAGCCTGAAGTTAGTACATACATAGCCTGACCTTAGCCATCCGTACACTCCGCTCAATCATCATTTCACTGCATGTAACGTCTGGGTCTGGTCCCTGTGTTAGCGATTACAATCGGTTGAATTTTGACCGACCAATCAGAGAGCGCGGAAGGCGGGTGTTGTAGTTAGTTGTGGGTGACGTCAAGAGTTTGCGTCGAACGGGCAGGTCGTAGTTTGGCAATGGCGAAAAAATGCGATAGTAAAGTAATCCAGTCTGGTTCTATCAAGAAATTGAAGCAGGAGCAAGAGGAATGTTTAGCAAATGTAATCTCTGGAAAGAATTGTGGCGCTACTCCCCACGGGCTCCGTTAGCGGCAAAGGAGATGGCTAGGCTAAATGCTAAAAGCTAACGACTCACTCGGGCTCATTACATACGTCACGGTAAACTCAGATCCAATCGTTTCAATCTGCAAAAAGAGTTAACCCCTCCCACCTGTTCACGGAGCTCAATGGTTCGCCTCCAGACCTTAGTACGTAATGTAATTTGTACTATGGTGTGGTACGACCAGGCTAATACATACCACTTGTTTACCTGGGATTCTTATGGCGCTATCGGGGAAGCCAGTCTTTGGGAAATTATCATATTTTAACCTTTTTTGTAGTGTATGATAGAACTGGATTTTTCTTCTTTCTTTTTTCCCGGAAAGCATTCATGTGGGATATTTACAGCCGGGTGTTCTCGTGTAAACTCGAGACGGGGGGAGCTGAGTTTAAATTCTACATGTACATACCAAGGCCTGAGTCTCGCTCTGAGAAGCTGTCAGTCAGAGTCGGAAGTCTTTACCACCTCTCTGCTAAAGGAGAGAAAAGAAAACTTCATTTACTTCAATTGGCTGAGCTTAACTGTGTGTGCTTCACCCCGACGTGTGATGAGAAGGCAGCGCTTTTTACAGACAGCCTGTTCTTTTGGTTTATTGTCAACCCAGATCCGTGCGGTCGTTTAATTTAGTTCATTTAGTTACTTAAAGTGAAAATAAAATGTAGTAAATCTTTTATGAGGGCTGTGTTTGAGACATTCCGGGATCTACAAATACATTTCTTTTTCTTTTTTTAAGGACTTAAGATGCATTGTCTATGTGGTTAGGTGTGTACTCTTTATCCACTTTAAAGCTGAAGGCAAGGCGAGTTTTTTTGTATAGCACAATTCATAGACAGGGCACTCAAGACAGGGCAGCTGAACAGAATAAGATCGAAACCAGGCATTAAAATCCTCTTTATCTGTATTAATCTCATGTTATTTTTTGCATACTTGTAAGATAGAGGTTGCATTTTGACACTGAGAGAGCGCTGTTCTCTATTTTTCCCTTTTCTAGCTGAAAAAATTGAAATAAATATGAGACAGAAACCGAGACTAGTGATAAAACCAATCTGTTTTAGAGCCAGGAACTAGTTGGACATGGATTTTATGATGTACTCCATTATTGTGGGTTGAAAGTTAGGCACCCCAGCTTTAAGTATGACAAGTTTATGTATTTTATTTATTTGATAGGGACAATTGTACACAATGAGCATGTGAAACACTACAACATTTATTTATTTATTTATTTATTTATTTGATTGGGACAACACACATTAATGAACAATCATATACAAGTTGTACACAAATTGTAAATGTGCCAGATTGTAGCAAAACTGCTAATTTACATCCGTAGTCCCGATATAGTTGGCTATATCCTTTATAGCAAAGGATAATAAATGTCCAATTTACACAGTTAAAGTGTGTGTTTTTTTTTTTTTACAAGTAAGTAATAAAATATTAATTATACAGTGCATTTTCATAAACCTAGGTCACACAAAGCAACTTTTAAATTTGGTCCTACAACATCAGCCCAAAATACTGTATGTGCTCACAACATAAGATAAGATACGATAAAAGTTTTTTGATCTCACAATGGAGAAATATACACGCCTTAAGTTAAATTTCGAGCCCTTTTCCTCGTGTTCCAGGTTGTACATTTTCTATTTAGTAACAAATCCTTAATCGCCCAGTTTTATTTGATAATTATAATGGTTCAAATGCTTCAGAAAGCTATGGGAAATAGATTTTAATAGCGGGATAGTTTCTCCTGCTGCCAGCACTGGTGGGACGCTGCTGTGGAGGAAACATGTAATTCATAGTTGGGGAAACCTCAAATGGAAGAGTGCTCGCTCCAAATCTGTTTCTGAAGGCAGCCTGGGAAATGGATGTTAATTTTTCATCCACGAAACACATCATTAAAATGTTCATTCCAACAGTTACATATTTAGTGAATTGTTGTTGTTTTTTGGCCAAAGTTTTAGTCGAATCTCCAAAAACAGACACGATTTATTTGTAGATATTTATGAGGGGAATCAAAACAAGATTAAAAAACAAAATGGAAACTAGGGCTGCACGATATTGGAAAGTAGTGCGATATTCGATATGAGTGTTTAGTATTGCGATGACGATACTATTGCGATATTTTTGTCTTTCACCTAAAATTGCAATCTGCATTGAAACGCAAGAGACAAATAACAAAAAAATAAGCACACAATTAATTACATTCAAATGCATATATTTATATACGTTTTTGTTCGTTTGTTTGAGTTTTGTTCCTGTTGAATGTTGATGAGTCTGTCTGTTTTGTTGTCTTTAACAAAGAAAATAAAGAAAAAGAAAAAAACGCACCAATATCACAATAACGATATTTTTTTGATATATCGTGCAATCCTACTGAAAACTACTCATTTGGCATCAGGGTGGGAAAAAGTATACAATTGTTTAACGGCTAATACCATTCAGAAATAACAACATTCTAATGATAGATTTTAGGATGTTGTTTGTTTTATAGATACACAATGACAAGCCATCAGTGCAGAACTACAGTCATGAGTTATAGAGTTCTAAAGTGACTCGTGTGTATGCATGCATAAGAGTGTGTGTGCATGTTGTAGTATTTTTAAGAGTAGTGTTGTTCTTGTTGAGGCAGAAGTAAAAATTCTCTGTGTCCTTGTGTTTGCAAGTAAGCACAAAGAGATGTTGTTATTAAAATATGCACATGTATGAGTTCCCTCTATCTACTCCTGATGTCCTCTACACTTTTTTTTTCTTCTCTTTTTTCATTTAACTCTGTAGAACCCAGACTTGAAAATAGTAATTTACTTCTATGGGTTCCAGTATGACCCAAAAACCCATTGAACTTTATGTTGCATATTTGAAACTGAGGGTGCTACGGGGTTAAATACACACACGCACACGCACACGCACACTGGCACACACACATGCATGCGCAGGTCCAATACTGACACCAAAATCAAAAAACCAAAATGACGAAATTTGACTTTAAATAGTTCCACATGTTGACAGTAACAAATGCCTTTAATTTCCTTTTGCAATGTGTCAAGGAAAGAATAATGTGGGCTACAGTGGTCACAAAAACAAAGAAGAACAGTAGAAGAAGAACGGTTCTGCCAAAATCAACCATTTTCATTTTGACTTATGCAGTTAATAGACTTTTATCCTACCAGATGGAATAGTGGCCCTTATTCTGACCTCTTTAGATACAAAAGCAGTCTACACATTGTCCCGTTTCATGTCTTTCTGCTCAGTTATTGGCCGATTTTAGTCAGGACTGCACCACTACAGTATAAATGCAATGAGTCACTTTCCCAAGTTCACTATTAGGAACATTCCGGGTTAACTATTCACAGCTTGTGTTAATGTTTGTGCATTTCCCCTAAAAAGAAAATTGGGAAAAACAGCATAAGGTGGGAGCACATCTGTTTTGTTGCTGATATTTCCCCGTCACAAGGTGAGAGAGGGGAGGCTGTAATTTTACGACACACAAGTTTGGGCAAAAACGCTCCGCTGCTGCTTCTGCCAAGAGCTTCAAGTACTAGGCAAAGATTGGTCTAATTAAAACCTGTCTTTTTACGGACTTAAAAAGAAGCTCAAAGCGACAGGAATGTTGTTTTCATTCACTGCACAGCCCCATTTCTCTCTATTCAACTTTTTTTTTTTCTCTCTCCCTAGTGGGGTAGTCCCTTGAATCGGGGCAAGGGGGTCGGGTTACTTGCTTCCCCTTGTCCCGCCCCCACGCTGTAGCCACGCCCCACTTGTTTACATTCCTGTCTCCTTATTTGGTCCTCTCAAGGCCCCCCCTCCTTTTTTGTGCAAACACTCTCACCTTCTCAGTGGAGCAAAAGAAGCGGAGGCCAAACTCCTTTCGAATAGTTGACCCTCACCACTTTTAAGTCTTTTGCAACCATGCATGCTTCAGCTACTAGGATGGAAAGGGCCATGTTTTCTCACCTGGAGATTCAAGCAAAGGTAGGACAAGTTTCTTTTCAAAGCGTGGTCGCAAATGGACGCAGAGCAGGTTGTGACACAGGTTGACAGATACTTTTGGAATAGTCCTTTCAAACAAGCTGTCTTCGCAAAGTGCTCGCCAGAAGGAATGCTGAAATCTGTTGGGATAGTTCCGCGAAGTTGGGTTGTATAGTTGTCTGGTTGATTGAAAGGCAAGAACTTACATAGCCCAAGTCTTGGTTGTCAGTGCCATTGTTGGAAGTCTATTGTCATTGTCCTTGTCATGAGGGATATTCTTGACTAACCTCCATGAGTCTTTGAAGATTAAGGAGATTGTTTGGACATATGCTGGAGGTCAGGGGGCAAGCGAGATGGAGAAGGGGAGGCTGAATCGCGGCAGGGTGAGGAATGCAGGGCCGTGGAGAGGAGTAGTAGCACCACACAAGAATCTCAGCATCTATTTTATGTCATCTGATATGGGGCTAATAGGGAGAGAAGCACATGCACACAGAGGCTGCTAATGTCGAGGAAAGAATTAGATTAAAAGTTGGAAGTGTGCTGAAAAGCCTGGGCTATACATTTTTTGTTGAATTGTAATTAAAAGGAGACGACTGTGTTTGTACATATGGTATTTGTTTCCTCTAGTTTTTTAAATGAAGACGTGCTGATAATTCTCTTTCAAAAATTCAAGAAAGTGAATTGTACATTTGTGATTTTCAAGATGGCTCGATTTCTTTTTACACATTTTTCAAATCCTGATGACCTCATATGTGCAAATGTAATGTACAAAATGTTTGACTGTGCATAATGTAAAGATAGTATAGGCCATTCCAATCTTACATTACTGATACAATAATATTTCTGTCAACTAAAGTGAATGCATAACAAACAGTACTTTTATTACATGTTGTCTTTGTCCTTTTGTTCAAACTAATGTCATTTTTGTTGGTTACTTTGTGAATGGTGGTGGGTTGTCTCGAGTTTTGTGTTGTGTCTGCTGTCTTTGTGTACAATCATGTTCCCTTTGGAGACAAGTGTATGTATGAAGCGCTACATCTTCTCTCTTTCCAGCCCCTCCTCGTGCTCCAGCTCTAAACCAGGACAAGGCCACTAACAAGAGACGAGATCCCGGGGGAGGAGAGCCATCCTTGGGCCGCGGGGTTCGCACCACCTCCGCCACTTCTAGCCCGGACCACAGTGACCACGCGCTCTCCGTCAGCAGCGATTCGGGCTTGTCCAGTACCTCGCTTTGGGCCGACAAGCCTACTACCATCTCATCTGGGACCATCCGCCCAAACCAGGGTCCCAGCCAGCTCGAGAAAGTCCAGCTGAAGCGTCTCCTCAGCGGGTTTGGACTGGAGGACCCTTCTCTGGATGAGATGGACGGTCCGGGCAGCGTCGTGCAGAAGGTAGTTCCAGCTCAGGTGCACATCAACGGAGATCCTCGTCCTAGAGAAAGAGAGACGGACATTTTGGACGACGAGGTGATTACGGGTCACGATCTCCATAGCGTGGACAGCTTGGGGACGCTGTCATCTTCGTGTCACAAAAGCAGCCAGAATTCGTTGCTATCCGATGGGTTTGGAAGTCCTGGAGCAGAGGATCACGTTAGTCAAACGCAAAATCACATCCCAACTATTGAGGAGTATGAAAGGGGGTATAATGACATTCGAAGACCTTGCATGGCTTCTAGAAATAACTCTGTAGCCTCTTCAAACCCTAGTGATGCTATGGCCAAACAGCACGTGTACAGACAGGGAACTTACTCCACGCAATCCTGGGTGCGACAACAACAAATGGTCGTCGCTCAGAAAATCGCATACATGCCCGATGATGGCAACGAGAGATTCTCAAGCAAGCAAGGGTCTATCAACGAGCCCCCAACCAGAGATGTCACAGATACAGCGGTCAAGGAAACGGCAATGGTCAACAATAACAACAACAACAAACGTGATGAAGAGTTCAAAACGTTAACCATGGACATTGATAACTCTATCGATCAGCTAAACCAACTCATCATGGACTTGGACCCGACGTTTGTGCCGGTGAAGAGCCAGAACAGTACGCTAAAGAGAAGTGAGAGCTCTAATGTGAACGGATCCGCCAAATTCACCAATGGCACCCGGTTTGGTGAAAACAATGAATCTACGCTAAAAAGCACACAGCAGACAGGTAAGCTAGCCCAGTCTGGAATCTATTAGTCACAATTTCCTCTAACAATGTCTATTAAGTGTAGCAAACAACAGGCTATAGCATTCTTTCGCAATGGTGTAATTCCGTTGTTGCTTTTTCACTTTTTCTTTGTCTGTATCCAAGCACACCTTTTCGCCCCCGCAGACCAAGAGTGTTTTAGTGGCAGAAATAGGAGGGTTGTTGCCAGCTTTTTAGATGTTTGCTGTACGTTTTGGAGCGAGAGGGGCCGCCCAGACTTGTCGGGGGAGCTATGTGGTTAGGGAGAAACAAAACAGATTTAGCAGGAGTTGTCAGCAGAGAATTTAAGATGGATTTTAACTAAGAATACATTTTGAATTTAATACATGTGGGTGTAGTGGTTATGCCCACGTTTAAAAACATGTTTAAAATCTATTGAAATGCTGCATGGTATTCATTCATAGTTGTTGTAAATTTAGCCAACACAAAGTACAGTAGCGATTGTGGCTTTGGGGCCATAGCTTGAGGAATTTCCAAAAGAGGTACATGAGAGCCCAGGGGGGAAGATTTTTTCTTTTGATTCTGAAGGCATGCCTGTCTGTGCAAATCAGCTCCTCCAAGTCATTCCAACAGACAAACGCTGAGGGCTGCTGCTCACTCATTAGCAAAGAGGCGGGAGGAAGTTAAAGTCGCTTGAGGTTTAAGAGGCGATAGTAAAGTCTGCAAGTCTCCACAGATAATGGCTCAGTGATATAAGTCAAGGTTAAGGTCGTGAGAGCGAATCCCAATTATTCCAACTTGTTTATAGAACGTATTTAGATACTTACAAAGAATGCGTTTCATTCTCAATGTATTTAGTTAGGCATTGACTTTGTTTGCCTCTGAGCTATGGCTACCAGGTAATATGTATATAAACACACTCTAAAAGCTTTTGTAGTTTAAAACCTAACACAAACACACCTTTTTGAGTTGTAGATACAGAGGTTTATAATTGTGTGAAATACAGTAGAGATATGATCAGACAATAGTGCAATATACAGTAGTTCTATGGGATAACTAATTTGAACAGGTAACTAAATTGATTAAATAAAAAATAAAAACTTTTGTGTTTTCCATTGACTTGTAAATATTTTTTTACAAGTAAAACATTGCAGCACCTATTAATGCTCAGCTCTGCGGTGAGATAATAGACATGAATCTAGCCCCTACCATGTTCTAAATACTGGTGTCTGGTTATACTTACAGAAAGTGGATTACTGGTACTTATCCTTTCCTCCTTAAATTTTACACTATGGTTCCATCCAAATTCACACATCCTTCCTTATCCTTTTCTACTCACTTTACCAAATTATAAAGTAATGTATAATTATAATATTTTATATTTTGTATATGAAAATGTGTATGAGTTATTCATCAGATTCAACAACTGAATTCAGACAGAGATTTTAATTGAGGTATAACTTTTACATGTATAATAAGTGTAAAAAAGAAAATCTTGCAATAAAAGCTATTACATTTCCATCGTCACATGACCGTTGAGTTGAAGGTTCCCCAAACTCTAGTTATGAGGGAAATATTCAAATAGTTCATCCCTGACCCTCACTCTCAGTTACTCCTTCAATTCCCCCACAGTCCAGCTTATTCCACATTCTGATGGCCAGAGCACTGGGCAGTGTCCTGTCTGGAAACTGACCCATCGCACATGATACAGCAGGACTTCTTGTGTGGGTCGTTATGCTCCCAATTGAACTATGACTTACATGATGGAGCTACAGTTTCTGGAAGTGCTTATTTTCTCTGTAGCTTCTGATAATATTAAATTAATTCAGTTGATTTTGAGCTTTAGACATGTCTGTATTGGCAGAGCTAAACTTTGCCAATAAAAATAAAACAGGAAAAAAACTATGCTATGCCCTAATTTTGTATGAACTCAGATGCAGGCTAAAACTTGAAGAAACCCCTCACTGCTGTTCAGATGTTTTTTACGACCTGTGTGTCATATACAGAATATTCCCCTTTGCCTTGACGTATATGCACGTGTCATAGACTTCAATTATTCTTTAAAAATCTTCATTCCAAGCCAAACCGACCTTTAAGACAACTATAGGAGAAGCTTACATGAGCGTGAATCCTGTGTGTGTGTGTGTCATCTGTACTCACCCCCAGACAATGAAGCCGCTGCATTAGCACTTTTTGCACCATTGGGCATTCTTCAGGGCTGAGTGACACCCTGGTGCTGAGTGGCCATACTCTCCACAGCAGTCACAACACTGGACCCTCTTCACCTAACTGCCCCCCCACTCCCCCCCACACCCAGAGGTATACCACTAAACAGACCTCCCAGCATTCCTCAGCTGTGCTCTCAAAACATGACTGCAGGCTGCATCTGTGTACGGAGGAGCTGGCAAACTGTTGACCTACCCTCGAAACGGTGTCAAAGGTGGCCCCGTGTTACAACGTGATGAGCACACAAGTCAAGAATGTCGCATCTTTTATTCTTTTTGTTTAAATAACTTTTTTTTGTCTTGGGGTATTGACTTCTTTGAACAAAAGTCACAAGATGTCCCATATAATTAGCCCAAGAAGGGAATCCTTATAGATGTGCAGTATGGTTTTTGTCACACTATTCAGTCATTTCTTGTGTGATCTGAGCTTTTTTTTGGCTGTTTCTTTTCAGGACAATAATTTTTTTAGGTGTAAACTTTAGGCCGGACTTCTCCTCCTTCTTCTTTTAAAGCAAGTTTATTTGCATGAAGATACAAGTTGCTGGAATGCTAGATGAGTCAATTTCTGAATGTGCTTTTCTTTATGGGGATAAGGATTTCAAGCTTCCCATGCAAATTTAAAAAAGCACTCATGGAATTTGAAAGAACTATACATATTTAAAAAAATCAGGATTGTTGAATTTAAAATGAGTTTCAACTTTGCATAGGCCTTCTGCAGGGCATAGGTTATAAAAGAACAAATCCTATTTCATTTATAGCACAAGTCATTCTTAAAGCACCTAAAATTACGCTGCAAAATATTAAACAAAACAATTTAGTCATAAAGAAGGTTTACAGCTTTAAAATGGAGACACAACATAACATGTATTGACTTTTTGTTTGTTAAAAAAATGCTATATTCACATAAACAACAACAGTATTGACATTGTGAATCGCTTTTAGGCGATAACATAGCATAGCATGATGGGAGGAGCCTTGTACAAGGGGCGGGGCTTATGTAACAGAGAAAGAATAGCTTTTAAGATTAAGATTAAGAGATCCTTTTGAGTTAGGCCTTGGAGATGTCACAGCATTTGTCAAAAATGTCTGAATAACATGTGAACACTGCTTTGGGTAGGTTTTTGATTAGGAATTCATTGTTTAATATCATATCACATATTCAAGATGCCTGAATATGTCATTTTATATCAAAAGATGTCGACATATGTGATTCTCTATATGTGTGTGTGTGTGTGTCCAGCTGTCCAGTCCAGTGAGAGCCGTTTGGTGTCACGAAGCCTCAGCCGCCAGGAGAACGATGTCACAGATCACCCAGGGTTCTGCAGCTCTGGGTGGGCCGCGGGCGAGGACTATAGGGGGCAGAGCAGGACCTACTCACCTTGTCTACCGCAGTCTCAGGTACAGCTCTTACAGGCACAGCTCTTACAGGCTGTACAGACAAAAGAAACAAATGTAGCTTTAGCAGAATAATGGGACTAATGATTTTGACCACAAGGCTATGGAAGTAGATACTCCAAAACCATTGTTAGAAAAATAGTGCCTATGATCCAAAATCTTTGAAGTGTAATGTTATATATGCATTCACTTTAGTTCCTCTCAGGGTTTTCTTGTAAAATTTTAGATTGATAATGTATTGTATTGTACTTTTAATGTATGCAATTCATTATGATAAGCAGTCTTAAGTTTTGACTTAAGTTTTGTCTTAAGCCTTCTAAGCCTAATGCCTACTTTTTTTTGCCCTTTTCTTTCTGCTTCTTTCTCATACCAAGGGAGACATTTCTTGTATCGTTATAAAACAAGATCTTTTTTTTTGTCCCCTTGGCAAATCTTGTTTTAAGGCAGTCCGAATGTGTTCAAATTAAGATACATTTAGCTCAATTTTTGCAATTTTTCACTTATTTTTCATAAGATTTTGGAGTGCGGCACTACTTTAATGAGATTTTTACAGATTGTTTTTGTAGTTTGAAGAGCTGTAAGCAAACAAAAACAAACCATAACATTATCACGCACTATGAAAAAAAATAATAGGAAAAATAACACAAAATCTCATGCAGTAAAATTCATTGTTTATAAATCCCTGAGAGATTAGTAGCTGTCTGACCCTAAAGAAGGCTAAATAAAACCGTTGTCGGTAATCATTGGCGGTAACATTATCTCCTTGTCGTTCTCTCAGAGCTTGTTGTATCGCAGCGACAGCACGGACTACAGATCCCAGGGTCCAGACACGGACAGCGGCGTGGAAGCAGGAAGCGACATGACCCCCCCCACACCGGCCTTCCCCATCTCCCCTCCCACTCCTTATGGTACGCAACATCATTCTGTGTGTGTCGCCTTTACACTGCTGTTGTGTTGGAGTCTGTGAAATTATGTTTGATTCAATGTTTGCAGTAAAAAACATGTCCGAGTTCAATCAGAGACAAACGCCATCTTTTAACATCCGTTCCTTCAGCTACAAAAGTGAACACGGTGAGTTTATTAACTGCAAAAAATATCATGCTATGTCTGGATTTTGTTTTCAGATATGTATTAACATTAGAATTCCCAGGACAGTCAATTTGACGGTTTTATGGTAAAGAGGTGTAGTTACTCTGCTCATGCACGTTTATGGCCTTCATAAACGTGTGACTTTTTCTGCTTCTATATGTAGTTTTTTATTTGTCATTACTGAGATATTTTTGTATTTTTGAAATGTCAGAGGCTTTACCTTGAACTCCCAGAGCAGTCATTTTAACTGCTCAATTCCCTTGAGTATACATTTAATGTTTAGCCACTTTCGCTCACTTGGCTAACAACATTCTATGGAATTCAAAGACCTGTTTCTGCAAGGTGCTGGTCCTGGACTGGTTCTGGTTCAGCCACCCTGGATCTCCACCAGACCGGAGCAAGTTACCATATCAACGCACTGTTTACTCAATCAAACAGTTTCAATTTCTATTCACCGGGGATAGCACACTGTATATTAAAAGTGAGTAAAGAAATAGAAAAATGCCTTGGTTTCAATAAAACTTTTTTAATACTCACTCACTTTTTAAAGATTTTGTCAGAATTTGATTGATTTTAATGGGAGCTGTCAAAACGACTGCTCTGTGAGTTCAAAAATGTATTGGATAATAACATAAGAATCTCAAGCAGAAAGATTCCAAAAGAGTCCCCAACCTTCGCTCTGCCTCGAGAGACTTTACCCCCCACATTTCCCCAAATAATATATACTTTTAGCATATTTGCGGTGTTTTCGGTGGCACACACTCTGGCTATAGCATTGTTTGTTGCCCTAATGTCAACTTTGATGCATGGTCCAAACGCTTTCATGGTTTTTCCGGTTTATTCACATTTAGCATACATCACAGCGCGCAACTTGTAATTAGATTATTTGTTGTGTGCAAACTTCAAGAAGCTGAGCCACATGAGATGCTCCGTTCCCACCATAAACTTGCCTTTTTTCACTTTGCTTCCAAACTTGTTTCTGGAGTTTCCATAGCGACGGGTTGTATATATAACGTTGTTGGAGGCTAATGTCCCCCACTGTGCCTCTCGCTACACTCGATCCTGTAGCGTCGCCATGGTTACTGCTCTGCCACAAAAGAGACCGGAGACATTCTTTGGACTTGTTTTTAGCAGTTTGTCAGTGTGCATCTTCTTACGTTGAATTACTGTGAACTTTTCCATTCATGTGTGTGAATTATGTACATATTTACAATGACCAATTGTGCTTTGCCTTTTTTATATTTGTGGCTTTAACATATTTGTCTCTGTGCTAACCATGCACTGTCTAGGGTTAGATTAGGAAAGGTTGCCAAACACCAATTACAGTAAAATAATACATGTTTGCATAACAATAAAATTATTGATTAAGATTATATCTTACATTTAGATAATATTTCTAGTGGAAAATCGATTTTGATGTCTGGGTTAAGATTGGATTAACTTCAAACGACATTTGCAAATGGAACAAGCCAATCTCTAGTGTTACTTCAAGCACCGTACTGGATTTGTGTGTGGGAGAAATTTGTCGTCTTGTGCTCAACCATTTTAAAGCATTGTTCCCTCATCAAAAATATCATAGGAGTTATTTTTTCGTCCTGGCTAATATTAGGATCACAAATCACCACTAACACTGTCTGAATGAATCCTTAGACTATGACCTGCCCGTCAATGTGTTTTTTGTGCCTTCAATGAAACCGTCATGTTGGAAAGAGCAGAATGTCATTTCCTGTGTATACCACTAGATGGAAGTCTTGCTCATTCCAGTCATCTTTTACTTCATATTTCACACTCAAAAACATGAAACGCCAAACTACGTATTTTTAAGATCTTGTTTAGGAGTCCAGAGTTTATTATTTTATTATTGTAATCCTAAATAATAGATCCTGTTTGATTTGTGTATAATCTGAGTGTTCTTATTTCTCCTTCTATTCTGCTGTATTGTGCGGAACTATGGCATTGGAATTTCCTCACGGAGGGACGAATAAAGGTTTATCTTATTCAACAAAATAGGAATTTACTTTGATAAGGATTAAGAGAGAAGGTGAAGAGGTCCTTTATTTGTTCCACAGTGGGGAAATGTCATAAATGGTGCAGACAAAAGTAAAAAAAAATACATATAATTCAACTTTAACAGACATTTCTCACCCCAAAGCATCAAATAGTAACTCACAGGGATGTTTTGTCTGCAAATTATGCTCAAGATGAAGACAGCATATTAGTCTGATTTGTTTACATTAGTTTAGAACATTGTTTTTCTTGCTTTCTCGCTTTTCCTCACACGTTTCTTTGTTCGCAGATCCCTGTGGATTCTCCGAGGTCGAGTCTTTGGCCGAGCCCTCCGTCAGCTGTCACCGGACGCTCACACATTCCACGTCTGTTGTCGGGACACTTCAGAGAACAGACAGGTACAGAGAGAGACGCCCCGCCCTGCAGACATACAGGCTGCTCCTCTGCACACGGCCGGACGAGCTCCACATGAGAGTGAATGAGTGAACATCTGTAAAATATTTGGCCATGAGAGTTTGATATTAAAAGCGCCCATTCATTAAATGAAAATCTGCTGCTTTAGAAAAAAATTATCTGGAGAAATAACCACATTTTTACGAGATTCCAGAATTTATTTTTGTCAATGGACTAATTATGGACTTTCTAATAGATCATCCATTACCATGTATCAGTATAACCTGTTTTTGGGATGAATTAGCAAATGCTGTTTCTGGTTTTCAACAAGGATTATGAGGAAAAACAAGATAACACACATTAAATAGCTGCCGGAAATTTACTCTAAAGCTTTTGGAAATTCACCATAATAATTTTGATAATTATGGCAACAAACAAGACTGGAGATTTAAGACAAAAGGGAGACATCTATAAAAAATGATCTTATCTCTTTACAATCACTTACAATGAATTTGAAAGAAGTGACCAGCTGTCTTAATAAAGTGTGGCATGTTATTGCTGCATCCTTAAACCAGTAAAGATGGATACACACGCTCATAAAGACAGAGATGGTTTTACTTTTTTGAAATTGTAAATGAATACTGAGCCGACTCGGTCCTGCATCACATGGCCTCGGCCCTCGTTCTCAGTCCTGGATCTATTGCCCGTCCGATGGGAGCAGATCCCTCCCTCAATGTGGGCCTCTCCCCACTGGGTTTTTGGTTGTTGTTCCTTTGCCGACGCAGGAGGGTCTAAGGAGAGTGGTGATGATCCAGGACACTCGACATTCAACAGTACTTATCGTCTATCAACATTTCTGGACATTGATTCTCTGATCTGTGCTGGTGAATCAACTTTGTAAAGTCCTCAGAGATAACCACTGTTGTGATTTAGTGCAATACACATATAAATTGAATCGAATTTGAATTGAACCCTTTTCTCTTCCCTGTCAGCTCCTCCATCAGCCCACCTTGGCCCGAGCACCCAGCCCTGACCCGACACGCCTCTCTGAACAGCTACCCGTCTCCCAGGGACCCCCCTGCCTCTCTGAACAGCTACCCCTCTCCCCGGGACGCCCCACTCCCCCATCACCCCGTGGCTCTGGACTACAACCACCACTCCTCCCCCCTCCACCAACACCCGCACATCCACCCGGCCCCCAACGGTCACAGCTCGCCCCGGAGCAGCCAGCGCACTCGCATGGCTCATCTGGCCCTGAACCGCTGCCCCGCCCAGAGCTTCGAGGAGCAGGAGGACCCCAGGGGGAGCTATGGTACGGACTCCCCCCTGCTGATGAGTGTGGGGAGAGAGAGGAGCCTTGTGACTGTCATGGAGGGTCATCACCAGCCTCCGCTCCTGCCCGAGAAGAAGAGGGCGTCTGACGGAGAGCACTCGTTGGGCACGGCGTCTCCGGCTCCCAGCGGCTTCTCCAGTCCTCACAGCGGGAGTTCCCTCAGTATTCCGTTTCCAAACGTGCTCCCGGATCTGTCCACGCAGATGTCCGGGACCCCGACGCCGCTGCCAGGTACTGGGAAGGTTATAGGTAGTCGGGCTGCACGATTGCAACGGCAATCGAATCACAATCTTAACTGTAGTGGACGCAATTGGCAAAACGCAAGGATTGGAATTATTAAGTCCCTTGCAAAAAAATAAAACAACTGCATACAGAAATAAGAAATAGTTTAAAATTGAGAAAAATATTGAAATGAATTGCAAATGGAACAAATAGAAAATTGTCCATTAATTAAAAAGACAAAATAAATTTACTAAAAAAACATATTTCTTCACTAGTGTTTTATCATTCTTTACTATGTATTATAGATGATCAAGATAACCTGGTTGTGCTTTAGTTTTTAACTTTTAAGAAATGGTGAAACCAAAACGCAATACAATAAGAAGATGTTGCATTTTTGCGCACTTTAAAACATACATAAATATATATAAATCGCATCACCGGACACAATTGCAATAGTTTTCAGAAAAATCACATTTCCACTTTGACAAACTCGTGCAGCTCTAATAAAACAATGTTTTCTTCTCAGGAGTCACTGACTTTGTCCATGCTTCTTTTGCAGACGTGTTGGCCAGCAAGCAGCTCACAGTCAAATTTGTCCAGGACACATCCAAGTTCTGGTACAAGCCGGACATATCCAGAGACCAAGGTAAAGTCAAGTCTGCAGTTTAAGTTGCTTTTAGTCTCTTCTTGATATTACCTACTTTTTCATATAAGAATGATACTGATTGAAAAATAGGTCTGTATACTATAGTTTCCGTGGCGAAATGTATGCTTTTTCCTCAGAGATAATGAAAAAAAGGAATTTATACCAGTGGAGATATTGTATTGGTGATAAAATTGTTACATTTTCTGTGGGTTCACCTCTCTTCACAAATGTATTGAATACCATTATGTAAACTTAGACTAAACTTCCTCTGTTCTTACCATCCTAGATTTTTTGTTTATGCAATGTGGGACCCCATTTTTTTTTTCTTTTGCAGAACTTTTTGAGGAGTTCATTTTTCAAGCCATAAAGATATACACAAAATGTAATCTATTTTATATCCATGGTGATGTTGCCATAACCATAGAGAGTTTTCCATTCTGACATTTTACACGTGATAACAGAATGTGGTCTCCATAAAAAACTGTAATAGACCATTGATGAGTGACAAGTGCATCAATGAAAATAAAATATCATTATTAAAACTTCAAATATTTTCTGATTATTTTTCAGCCATTTTAGTCCTGAAGGATAAGGAGCCAGGTTCCTTTATCGTGCGGGACAGCCACTCGTTCAAAGGCGCGTATGGACTGGCAATGAAAGTGGCCACGCCCCCACCCTCCGTGCTTCAGCAGGGCAACAAAAAGGGTAAGATCGTTATTTACTTCTGGTTGCTTTCATAATAAATGCCAATAGAGCAGAGACGTCCTGAAATCACATGATGCCGGAGTCTTTGGTTTCCGTGTCCTCTGGAACCTGAGAGTCTGCTCTATGTGCGTGTGTCTGTGTGTGCGTATATGTGTGTGTGTGTGTTTCTCCTGGGCATCGCGGAGCCCAGACCCCTATCGCCTCATAGTCTTAGATGTTCAGCTAATGTTTCAGGCCATAACAAAAGATGTGCTGGTCCATAAGCCGGCTCTGATCCAGGCACTTTCTCCTGGGAAACTTTTGCCCCACATAAACTCGATCAGGCGCCATCAAGGGACGGTGTTGGGAAGTAACTAAATATATGTACTCTCAGCTGTGCCAAAGATCTAAAAATGTCAATCTCAAGTTTTTGGACACATGAACCAAAATTGAAAGACACCAATTATGTGAGAGGGGCTGAAAAAACAAAGAAAAAGTTATGATTGCCTTAAATATTATCCACATTGAATCATTTTGACAACATTACCCTATATTATCTTCTATATTTAGTTATTTTCATAATAAAGCTATCTTAAACAGTCCCCCTTAAGAAATGAGTAAGATTTGCTGAAGGAGAATAGTTAGACCAATGTTGAGGGCCTCTGCTGTCTATCAAGGATTTTGATTCAATGCATCCAATCAGGAAGCTGTGGGGGCGGGTCTAACTGGCACAGGATATCACTTAATGTTTTGGCAATTAAATTACTGTTTTTGATATAAATTAGTTTGTTTTGTTATTCATTTAAGTAGTTGAAAAATCAAATTGGAAATAGAGATTGGTCAATAAATGGGAGATTTTTTTTTCAAATATTTATTACTTTCCCAGATTCCCCAGATCTACATTTATTGATCAATTTTTTGAAAATGTGTCTAAAAGTTGTATTCCTCTAGTCACAATCTTTATGGCAGCACAATGTGTTTTGGCAGCACATTTGAAAGGATTTGGCTCAAATAGAGTTGAAACTAGAGTTTTTTGCATTTGAAAAAATAGGTTTTGTAAAGAGGAAACTGTAAGCCTTTCACTTATTTCTCCTCTGTATATTTAGAAGCCTTCTTTGCATTGAATTCTGTGCTCTGGTTCAGTCTTTCCTTTGGTGATAGTTATAGATTACCAAAATAAATCTTATGTTTATGATCTATAACAGAAGTAGTTTATAAGCACAGTACAGTGGATCAATGTGTGTCATTTATTTTACATATGGTTTTTGAGACGATAAAGTATAATTCCCAAGTTTTCTGTTTGTATTTGTAACTGCAACACTCTCTCCACCTACATGTTAGTCAACCAGCAGATAATTACAACCATAATAACATTTAGATCATGCAACCATGCTGACACTAAAGAAAAAATGCAGTTCAGACGACTGCAATTTAACACAATCCAAAACATTACAGCTGTACGTTGTACTGAAATCTCTCCACACTGCAAAGAGTGAAAAATAAGTCAAAAATTGCTCAAATTTGGTTAAATTTATCAGAATTTGATCACATTTTTACTCCCTTAAAACAAGATTTGCCGATAGGACAAGCAGAATTATATTGTTTTTAAAAGATACATAAGAAAGTAAAGCAACACTAAATGGCTTTGTCTCATTGGCAGATCTAGTTTTTAAATCAGAATGTACTTAGACTTTGGAAAAAACCTCGATTCGAGCAAATATTACCTCATATTTTATCAGTGTTTGCTGTGCTTTCAGTTCTTTCAGGCCAAAGTGACTTTCTCAATATCAAATCAATTGGGGAAAAAACAAAACATTTAAATGACGATAAATAGTTCAGCTGGACATAGGTTAAACTCTACACCGTCTTACATCCTGCCTGCCCAAGCCCACCCTGGAGTATCCCCCATCTGGCCTTTTGTCTGGGCCCCTCTCCGGCCCACTGGCACCTGTAGTGACATCATGATTCGCTCCTTCACGCGCTTTCAACCTGAGGCCTGTGAAGTGAAACCCAAGCCACCTTAAGGAAGAGGGCCTTTGTGTCAAGACATTCCTAACCCTCCCTCCCAAAGGCCCCCCAATGCAGCGTCTGTGCATTCATAATTACATTAGTTCAAACCCCAATGCAAAAATGTGTTGTCTCTGTTGGATCTTCTTTTTTTATTCTTTTTTACAATTATGTTTTTGTTTGATTTATTGTTCAGGAGGCGATCTGGCGAATGAGCTGGTGCGACACTTTTTGATCGAGTGCACGCAGAAGGGGGTCCGGTTAAAGGGTTGTCCCAATGAGCCCTATTTTGGTGAGTGTCCACTGGTGCTGCTCCTGGCTTTGGTTGGTTCACAGCACTGCCCTCTAGTGGTGCTTCTGTGTTACTACCTACATTTTGTTTTGTTTATCGCTGGGGTACCTACATTTTAGTCTGTGTCAGAAATAATACATGTCGTTTGTCGCAACAGAAAAAGTTGTTAAAAGATTTTTTTTTTTAAATCAGTTTGTCTAGTAGAGTTTAGACTTGCTTTATTATTATCTTAAAGCTAGAGATTTTATACTTTGTTCTTTATTATTCTAAAGTTACGGTAAAGTTAGAGTTTCTGTCTTTGGACAGAGAGCTGAGGGTGTTCTTCTCCTTGTTTATCTGATGAAGCTGATCTAAAGCTACTATTTTTGTATCCTAAAAAACTATAATAGTCTCTACTAACACTATACTACTTATTTTAATTAGTATATTTATAGTATATCTTAGGGAAACTAGGAGTGCTTTAAAAAAAAAAATACAAATAAACCAAAAATACATAGCTTCCAGCTAAATTTCCATCTCCATTCAGACAATTAACAACGTTTAATGTGTGTTTTTATAGGAAGCTTAACTGCGTTGGTTTGTCAGCATTCTATCACCCCTCTGGCTCTGCCCTGCAAACTCATCATCCCAGACAGAGGTATTGTAGGAATACTTTTTTAAATAAATGTTTGTGAAACCATTTCTCGACGGTTAATCCCATCATTTCTTTGCTTAGATCCTCTAGAAGATGTCGTGGAGAATGCTTCTTCTTCAGTCTCCAACTCAGCGGCTGAACTGTTGAAACAAGGAGCAGGTTATTGACTTTTTGTTATATATTTCATTATTGATAAGAACATGCCACTGCACAACACACACAGACTGTAGAAAGAGTTGGAGGTTACCAAGTGTAGACCTCACTCAGAGTATGATAGTTAGTGAAGAAGAACTAGCGCTAACTCAGTATCCATGAGCTGAGAATCTGGAGCCAATTTTCGTAGACCTAGCAACCAAAGAGCCAATCAGGAGCTCCTCAGGTTGAATTCAGGGACAGAAAGCAACTGATTGGGCAGTTGCTATGGGATTTATAAACCATTATCAACATAAAACATTCATGCGACACAGCTAAACAGTTAGATTCGAAAGATTAGTTTACTTTTTAATATTACTGAAAGGGAGGCAAAGCGAGTTGGGTTATCATTGTCCATATACAGTACATACAGTCCATGACAAAAACATGAACAACATATCGTACAACTTCAAGTCCCTTTTTTTCATCTCATCCATCTCCCTCACTGGAACAGGAAGGACTCAACATTCCACATCAATATAATGTCATATTATTCAATTCAATTCAATTTTTTTTATGTATAGCCCTAAATCACAGCAATAGTTATCTCTGAAGACTTGATAAAACTGTCTAATTTGCCACACAGATCAGAGAATCAAACAGTTTAAACATGAGAAATTAATTGATAGAAAACACACAGAACCATTGGTCTATTAGGGGCTGACGACCAATGTCCATAAATGTTGCTGAATGTAGAGTGTCCTGACATATTGCTGCTCCAACACGGTCGTAGTTGATAGTGGCTGACTACTTAACACTGGTCTGTGTGTGCAGCGTGTAACGTGTGGTACCTGGGCTCAGCGGAGATGGAGTCTCTGACTGGCTCGCAGGCCGTGCAGAAGGCCACCACCATGACGCTGCACGCCAACCCCCCCGTCACCTCCACCGTGGTGCATTTCAAAGTGTCCTCCCAGGGCATCACCCTCACGGACAACCAGCGCAAGTAAGACATCAAATAGAAACTTGTACACCGTTTTTGTAAAGCTAGGGTATCTAACTTTCAAGCCACAAAAAATAACTATGCATTAAAATCCAGTAGCCCCAAGCATTAAAATCTGTTTGGTTCTATCACTATTTTTGAAATACATTTTTGGCCACCAAGTTAGTTAGGGGTACCCACATTTTTCCTGCCAGACCATTTAGTCCCATTCCCCCAACCCCCCTCCAAATGATTCTGAACTAGCAGCATTTATGTTAAGACAACTGGTTACTATGGGTTACCAAGGCCTGTCATGAGTAGTTTTATTTTACATTGATGAACCAATTTCAGGTGAGAGGGCTTCTTTAATATACAATAGTAACATTAATTGCTTCCATAATGAAAATGTATAGATTGATCGATTGATTGATTGGGTAAATACAAAAATATTACCTCATCAGTCCAATAATATCCAGCACTGAAATCATCAGTCCGCTTATGCATATGAAGCTCCCCTGAGTTAGGTGGATTGTATTACTGTATATAGTTCCATTCTTTTGGGTTTGAAACTTAGGTACCCCAGCTTTAAGTGGCCAAACATAGATCCATCTTGTCGGATTGAATACAGAAGTGTGCACGTCTTTAATAACATAGTTTTAGATTGAAATTAAGTTTTAAAATGTACTAAAAGTATCATAACGAGTGACAGACATATACAGTATGTGTAGCAGACAGAAACAAAATAATGAACATATATTTCTGTTTCAGACTGTTCTTCCGGAGGCACTACAACGTAAACACAGTCATATTCTGCGCTTTGGATCCTCAGGACAGGAAGTGAGTACGACCTCCTCTTAATAATCAAATCCCAACCTCCAATATTTGTGCAGCCAAGTGACATCATCGGCCTATTTTCTCCTCCCGCAGGTGGAAAGTAGACGGCTACCCCTCAGCGAAGTAAGTAAACTACTATCTTCTCCTGTGTTGTCCGTCTATAATTTAACATTTAACAGCTATTTTTAAAAGGACGCGGGCAATTTCACACAGATGACAGTGCTGTTGTTAACCGCAGCCCTTCTCTCTGTAGAATCTTCGGCTTTGTGGCCAGGAAAAGCGGCACTTCTATGGACAATATCTGTCATCTGTTTGCGGAGCATGACCCGGAGCAGCCCGCCAGCGCTATTGTTAACTTTGTTTCCAGGGTGATGATTGGGTCCCACAAGAGTAAGTAGAAGTGGAGAAATGGACTGAATTCACACACACACAAAAACACTCGCGGACCAAAGCCCAGATATAAGCCTTGTTTTTTATATAGTGTTTTAAGCACTGCAAAAAGTGATGGAAAGTAAGTACAAAATTGGTTAAATTGCGTAAAATGTATCTTAAAAGTGTATACAGGAGGATTGTCTACTGCCGGGTGGATCATCAAGACTATTGGTCCTCCTAATTGTCAATCATTCTGGTGATACTTGCTTGTTCAGAAAGTGGAGAGGGCGGTTCTTTCCTAAAATTTGGGAAAATCCTCTGATACACCTTTAATTCAAGCACGTTTTGACTTATAAGTTTTGCCAATGGGATTAAATGGATTAAAAAGAAGAAGAAGAAGCAACAGCTCTTGAAATTAGTCTAAATGGCTTTGTCCCATTGGCAAATCAGAATGTGCTCAAATTATGTTAAAAATAAAAAAACACTTGATTCGTGCAATTTAACCTCATATTTTATCACTTTTTGCAGTGTATATGTTTTTTTTGAGCTGTTGTTTTCTGTAATTTTAACTGGTTTGTACATATTTTGTTATAGACTCCATTATTGTCGCATGTATTATTTTTGTTTTAATATTTAATCCAGAACTGTATAAGAAAGTGATGCTGTAATAGGTGTGATAAAGTCTGCAGCGTCGGCCCGTGTGCCTTTAGCATTTATCCAAACGGAAATTCTACTATGGGCTGTATCTATGCAATGTAATATTTCTGAATATTTTTTTCAATCATGGACAATATGTTATTATTCTGTTCATGTCATTATCATAGTTTGTGTATATGACCACTTTCTTTCAAAGCTGCCAGTAACGTGTTTGAATGAATGTTGCTTCTTTAAAAAAACTATTTAAAGTTAAACCGTAATATATATTTTGACTTGCGCATATGAACAAATTAGTACTTGTTGGTTAAAAACGTATGTGACACATCTTTTTTTATATGGTTTTTATTTGTATGAATTGTATTTTTAGCACTGTGGTTTCATTGCATTTTAATGTTGGTTTTCCCATCATTCCTCCTGGTCAAGCCATCGGTACAAGAAAACCACATCATCTCAGCTGTCTTTTACAATGTTGTGCCTTTTTATAATTGAATACATTTATATAACGCCACAAGAGTTGTTTGAATCCATATAATGTAAATAAAAAGAGACAACATGTAATTGTATTGTCATGAATTTTATTTTTATTTTTATTCTGTTTTATAAGTTGGAATTGTCAGTTCATCTGGTCTTATTCAGCAATAGATTGGTTCTATGTACGATTTAAATTATGTTTGTGCCGACACCTGCGTGAGAATGTCAGATGTCACAAGCTAAGCAGGTCTGGTTGGTGCATGGATCTATAAAAATAACAGGGTTGGTGATGGGAGACCTCAGGAAACAGCAGGTGCCACAGTGGGGCAGTGTGGGTGAAAAACTTTCTCTGTGTCCTTAGGCAAGACACTTCAGCCACATTTCCCAGTGTGTCTGTGTGTGTATTGTTGTGGCTGATGGCACAGATCAGTAGTGAATGAATAATGTCATGTGAATTATTGCCATAGGGAAATCTCCTTCATTTTACGTATCCCCAACACCATCGAGGCAAGAGCAGCAGTCACTACAGTGCAGTACCCGGGGACACCATCTCCAGACATTACACAGCTCGGTCAGGACTGGATCTTGGTATGTCCAAAAAACCACTGTATAAAACCAATTGAGTATCAGATTTTATAATACAACTAAATTTGCAACATCAAAAAGATTTGTTTTAAAAAATAAATTGTATATGTGATTTTGGGTCATATAGATCATAGACTGTGGATCAATATCTCTATTTCAAAGAGACCCTGGTTAAGAGGCCAAATATCTACATAATGTTCCCTGCCATACTAATACTATTGTTGTGAAAGATTAAAAAATAAATAAATACTTGTAACCGTTCACAAATATGACCAGCAGAGGGCACTACAACTGCACAGAACACAGCCTCTATAATTGGCCGTTAGGTTTTTTTTTCTCATAAAACCATTAAGGCCTCGATCCTTCTCCATCGTTGCCGGGTCCGTGTGCACACTGGGGGCACCTGCAGAGCCGCACAAGTCCGCACAGGCCGCGGCACCGGGGCTCAGGCCGCTCTGCAGGTGCTGAAAGTGAAGAATTTCCGGGGAGGGCTGGAAGGAAGTGGAAGTGACCCAGGTGTGGTGAGCTGTTATTTACAATGTACTACTGCGCTACTGTAACGGCGCATGCGCAGAGGCCCGAGAGGAAAGTATCAGTGATGCATTAACAATCACAACTGATGGCATTGGCCTAATTACTGTAAAACGTTCTATTTTTATGTAAACTGACTTCATCTCATTTCGAACTGTTGAGTGTGCCACATTTGCCCCCATAGTTTCATCATCACTGTGAATATTTGAACCCCCAGAGCGAATGACTTACTACCCCAATACACCCTGATATTAAGTAAATATTTCTTTGCACTAGAGTAGACAGATGTATCATTTTACTTTTTGATATAATTAAGCTATAGCTATAGAGATACATTTTTTCAGTATAGAATTGTGCTGTACATCATACTCACCTATCTTGTGCTCCTCATTCCTTCTGTTCTGTAACTTGTAATGCTGTAATTCTAATATTAGGGACATTAAAGCTATGATTATTATTTGTTTTGTCTTGTGAATACTACATTTTGTTTGTCCAAACCGAAATAACATTTTGTAAACAAATCACATCACAAAATTCCGCCTTCATCTCTTTAGAAAGCACATTATACTTTTTGCGATAGAGAGAAAGAGTTCTGTTCGACACTAGGCCTGAGAGCTGATTGGCTGGGTGAGGCCTCTCTTGTTCAAATTTTCTGCCTGAAAAATCTGATCTAAAGATGTGACAGAAGCCAAAAATACACTGACATGTGATAATGATTGACAGAAGCATACTGTTTTGAAAGCGAGGAACATACAATTAACAGGTGTGCCCTCAACAAATTAATGCAACTATTCTATTACATGACTGTGGAGATAATTAGTTACAGCAGCTTCGATGCCACTGATGTGATACATACAGAGTGTGTAGCTAATGCTAATTTTCAGCTCCTGTCCTTGGTTGAGCTTTTCGTCCAGTACAACACATTATATACTGACATCACCTTTAAAGCCGGAGTATCTCACTTTCAAACCACAAAAATGTAACTATGCATCAAGTCCATGTAACTAGTTCCTTGCTTTGAAAACAGATTTCACATGTTTGTATTTTCGGCCTTGGTCACATGTTTAGATCAGCCTTATTAAACAGAAACATGCAAAAGAGAATCTGCCTGCCCAAAGCGTCAAGTAGTGACTCTGAGGGCTCTTTCTGCCACTATGCAAAGGATAAAAAGGTTTTTATAATACAATATACTATTGTGGTCAGAATTGTTCTCTTTCTGTTGGGACGATGGGGAAAATGTAAGTTAGGTACCCCAGCTTTAAAGCTAAGATTGTTTTATAGATAGATATGAGATCATTCCTTATGAACAAAATTAGGGGTCTTCAGCTTATAGCTCTGGAGCTCCCCAAAACTCGCCACCCTCTTGCAAGTATCTCCCCACTTTACATAACAATTCGGAATATTCCTAAATGTATGAATCATACGCTCTAACATTTTAATCGCAAACTATCATAGTCTATCCATCCATCCATGTTCTTCCCCTTAATCCATATCTGGGTCAGGTGGGTGGCAGTCAGAGCTGCAGCCAGTTCACAGAGCACCAGCCCCTCACTGATCCTGCTGCAGGTGATGAGTTCAGAGGAGCCTTGATTATTCAGCAGGGGCTTTAGGCAAAGTGGGGTTAAGTGTCTTGCCCAAGGACACGACATCAGTGAGAGTTGTGAAGTAGGTCTTGTGGTGGGCTCAAACCCACGACCTTCAGGCTCAAAGGCCAATACACTGCAAAATCCTAATAAAATAAATGGTAATAATGGCTGCAGTTGAATGTTTTTTTAAATCTTATTTGATTGTCTTAAAAAAAAACAGATTTTCCAAATGGACAAAGCCATTTAGTCTTATTTCAAGAACTGTTGCTTCATTGTTTCATAGACATTTCTTGTACCTTTGCTTGTCCCGTTGGCAAATCTTGTGCAAATGTGGTCAAACTAACATCGATTTGGCCAAATTTGAGCAATTTTTGACAATTTTTTTCCTCACTTTTTGCAGCAAATAAATGATAAATGTATCTCTTTATTGTACCAGATCCAAGGCGAAGCTCGCACCACACTACATAGACACATTTTCCTCCAGACACAATCTTCAAAAGTCAGCACGACAAAACACAGAGGCAAAAACCGCTCTCCGGGTGACAAACGTTGGAGACCCCTGAAATAGATAGAAACCCCACACCAGTCTCTCGGTGTGTATTTAACCTAAGGCCTCTAAAAAAAACACAATTTATTCTTGATTACACACAACTTCACCCCATGGCTCCAAACCGACCCAAATCACCGCAATCCAAGCACCTCAGTGGTAAAAAATTTACCGCAGTTCCTATTACGGTCCACCATTTCAGCCATGGCTCTTAATTAGAAGGAGGCCGCGGCACTTGTCTCTCAGAACTACAAAAGATACTATGCCGAAAATAGAAAACGCATTCATAGATGACCACATTGAGGCCCCTGTCTGGGTAGAATGGGCATGGGATCGCTTCAGGTTGTAGAGAGGTTATGCAACAGGACTGTCCATTGTGCGGAGCTGCTGTATCGGAGGTGTTTCTCATGCATTGTGGTGACCTCCGGGGAACGAGGGGTGACCCAACAATACACGGTTATAATGAAGCCGCTGTTTACAACTCTGTTTGGGTCCAGGCTCTAAATGAGTTTGTTTGGAGTTTGTTTTGTAGGCCATCATAACTCTTCAGGATTTCTCGGGTCAAACAAGATTGCGGGCCAAAAAAAATAACGTGTTTGTGTGGATGTGCAGTCAGAGAGAGCGTTTCCCGCCAAAACCATGGATTATA